AAGACTTACAGGACTACGGGTTCTAAAAAAAAAAAAGACTTACCGGACATTCTGCATTACGTTTTTGATGATATTCCCCATGCCACATTGATACGTCTTAACGTGCCTTTGTCTCCAGCCCATTCCCAGTCATGACTACTACATGTGGAGGAGCCTCATGAGGCTTCACAAGAGGCTGGAGAAACTCAAGCAGGAAAAACTTAATCTAGCGAAAGATGCCGAGGACAGGTATGTAGACCTGTGGGGAACACAGCTTGAACTTAGAACAAGGGTCAGGGTGTCCTTAGAGCTGGGAACACAGCTTGAACTTAGAACAAGGGTCAGGGTGTCCTTAGAGCTGGGAACACGGCTTGAACTTAGAACAAGGGTCAGGGTGTCCTTAGAGCTGGGAACACAGCTTGAACTTAGAACAAGGGTCAGGGTGTCCTTAGAGCTGGGAACACAGCTCGAACTTAGAACAAGGGTCAGCGTGTCCTTAGAGCTTCTAACGTGTGACTAGTTTTGTCTGTCAGTCGATACCTGCAGTTTGGAGTCACTTGAGCGGCAAGACAGAATCAAGACTCAAAATTGTGTTCTCATTCATTCCCACCCACTGCACATCCTCCCAATGCACACCCTACACTGCATTAACTACCACTGCAAACACTCCCACATCACTACATCCCAATGCACTCCCTACAACTGAACTCTAACCACCAGAGACCATCTCACTGCACTCTGCCCACTGCACTTTCTCCCACTGCACACCATCCTACTGCATTCCTCCACTGCACTCCCTTCCAATGCCCTTCTTCCCACTGCACACAATCCCACTACACACCATCCCACTGCACATCATCCCACTGTACAATATCCCACTGCACACCAAACCACTGCACACTATCCCACTGCACACCATCCCACTGCACACCTTCCAACATCACACCATCGCACTGCATTCCTCCACTGCACATCACCCCACTGCACACTATCCCACTGCACAACATCCCACTGCACAACATCCCACTGCACACCATCGCACTGCACACCATCCCAAGCACAACATCCAACTGCACACCATCCCAAGCACAACATCCCACAGCACACCGATGCACTGCACAACATCCCACTGCACACCATCCCACTGCACACCACCCCACTGCACACCATCCCACTGCACACCATCCCACTGCACACCATCCCACTGCACACCATCCTACTGCACAACACCCCACAGCACAACATCCAACTGCAGAACATCCCACAGCACACCATCCCACTGCACAGCATCCCACTGCACACCACCCCACTGCACACCACCCCACTGCACACCGTCCCACTGCACATCATCCCACTGCACTCCCTCCTTCTGCCTCGTCCTATAGGTTGACAAAGATATCAAAGGACCAGTTGAACCAGGGCAAGCAGCTGAACAGTCTCAACGACAGGCTGTTTGGCGTCATCAACAGCCAGACAACGATTTCCCTGACACTGGAACAAATGCAGCATGTTATGGCTGAAATGGGTAAACATAATGTGATCATTCCATCATACAAAAGCGTGTTAATCAAACGCAATTTTGTAGTCATCGATTGAAGTCAGCTAGTTAAATATGTGGATAGAAAGGGGCGACCCATCGGGCTTAAACATCAAGTTAGGATTTCAAAAGGAATAAGATCAGTCAGAACATTTTGAGTCAATTTAGATTCCTAAATAAATATTTCTGAGAAGACTACTCTCATTTGATTATACAACTCTATAACTGCAGACAATATTTATTTTTGGTACAAGTTTCAACTAACTCGTCGAAAGTATAGACAGTTTGCTCTCTTACAGTGACTTTGCCCCACCTTTACTCAGGTATGGCTATGCCCGTTACTCAGGTAAGGCTATGCCCCGTTACTCAGATATGGCTATGCACCGTTACTCAGCTATGGCAATGCCCCGTTACTCAGGTAAGGCTATGCCCCGTTACTCAGCTATGGCAATGCCCCGTTACTCAGCTATGGCAATGCCCCGTTACTCAGCTATGGCAATGCCCCGTTACTCAGGTAAGGCTATGCCCCGTTACTCAGCTATGGCAATGCCCCGTTACTCAGGTAAGGCTATGCCCCGTTACTCAGGTATGGCTATGCCCCGCTACTCAGCTATGGCAATGCCCCGTTACTCAGGTAAGGCTATGCCCCGTTACTCAGCTATGGCAATGCCCCGTTACTCAGGTAAGGCTATGCCCCGTTACTCAGATATGGCTATGCCCGTTACTCAGGTAAGGCTATGCCCCGTTACTCAGCTATGGCTATGCCCGTTACTCAGGTAAGGCTATGCCTGTTACTCAGCTATGGCAATGCCCCGTTACTCAGGTAAGGCTATGCCCCGTTACTCAGCTATGGCAATGCCCCGTTACTCAGGTAAGGCTATGCCCCGTTACTCAGATATGGTTATGCCCGTTACTCAGGTAAGGCTATGCCCCGTTACTCAGATATGGCAAGGCCCCGTTACTCAGATATGGCAATTCCCCATTACTCAGATATAGAAAGGGCCCGATGTTACTCACATATGGCAATGCCCCGTTACTCAGGCATGACTACCTTAATGTTTTCAACTTTTGACTCCAGGCAACAAACACTTTCACATTGGCGAGGCCTTGATGTCCCGTCTGCCACACAGCAAGTGCCGGAAGTCCCCTTACCCTGCAACATCAATCAGACGCTATCCGGTCTTTGACAAGAACGTGTCGTGGGAGGTGAGATCTCTTTCTGGAGAAATTCGGAAATTAATTTGATCTCCGTTTTAAATCAGCATGATGTGTAACTCATTGTTGAGAGGAGGGCTTTCCGTTGGTTTTATAGTTGGCCCAGTCAGTCGCCCATTGGCGTGGCTAGTTTTTGATGGAGGGTTTTCCGTTGGTTTTATAGTTGGCCCACCCAGTCGCCCATTGGCGTGACTAGTTTTTGATGGAGGGCTTTCCGTTGGTTTTATAGTTGGCCCACCCAGTCGCCCATTGGCGTGGCTAGTTTTTGATGGAGGGCTTTCCGTTGGTTTTATAGTTGGCCCACCCAGTCGCCCATTGGCGTGGCTAGTTTTTGATGAACTGGGTAGTCTCAGACTTTGCCGCAACTCAGTACTTTGAAGCAATAAGACACAGAAAACAAACAAACAGGGAGACAAACACGCTTAGTTTGGTGTACAGTTAAGTAGATGACAGGCAATGGTAGACACATTCTCAATGACTGAAGTGACCCACGGAATCGAAGAAACTGCGTATCAGATTGACATTAACATATCTATTAATATTAAGATAAGAGGGAAATGGAAGATTATTATAAAACAACTAGGATTGCGTAAGTAATGTTGGGGGCCATCCATAGAGTAAGTCCGCAAAAAGTCAAATTTTCGACCCCCTCCTCCCCGTTTGACCCCTGTTGCACACGCACTTTTTTATTTGTTTTGATGAACCCTCTTGCATACATACAACCCCCACGCCCACAAACAAACAAACAAAGACACAAACAAATTCAAGTAATCGTTATATAGTTATGACGTCACAGTAGACAAACTGTGTCGCGAGTTTTCACCGCTGGTTGTTCGGCGAGTCCAATGGTTCAAAGAATATCAATCGCATCACCCTGGGTGCTCTTTGCTCTCGGGAAGACCTGTGATAATGAAGGGAAGAGCGACAGGCGCCACAATCAGGAGGCGCCAAAAATCTTCTTTTGACAGGACTTTAATGGTGCATTAAAGTACTAGAGGCACTAAAAACCTTCCTTATGCTGCTCCGCCCTTGGGGGGTGGGGGGCCACATATTTCTACATGTGTTGCTGCAGCTACCTCACCGGTAAGTTGCGAGCAGTACATAATTTTTAGAATTTTATTTCCCCTTTAAATCCGGTATGACATCTTCTCTAGCGGTCGCGGTGCCAACAATAACCCACGGAGTACTGCTTGCAGAGGGCGCTCAGTGACCTACACATGTGTTTTAATTATTTTTACCCCAAACCCTTTATTTTATTTTGTTGTAGTATTTGCTATTTCGAAGCGTAGTTGGTGGAGACTCTGGTGGAGACCCTGGGGGAGACCCTGGGGGAGACCCTGGGGGAGACCCTGGGGGAGACCCTGGGGGAGACCCTGGTGGGGACCCTGGTGGGGACCCTGGTGGGGACCCTGGTGGAGACCCTGTTGGATCCTAACATTTTTGCATAGGCGTCGGAAATTTTTAAAAGTTAGAAACCACTGGCGTAGAGAGAGAGATAGAGAGAGAGAGAGAGAGAGAGAGATAGATAGAGAGAGAGAGAGAGAGAGAGAGAGAGAGAGAGAGAGAGAGAGAGAGAGAGAGAGAGAGAGAGAGAGAGAGAGAGAGAGAGAGAGAGAGAGAGAGACCTAGGCTCTAGGTGAGATGATGTGTGGTCGACATCAGGAAATGCTTGCCCATATTTTTTCAATTTCTCTTTCCGAAGTTGACATTGCATAAACCATTGAAGATGTTTCAATAAAATTCGAATTTTCACCGTCGCACGTTAGTATCGGGTATAAAGGTAACGCACTGAATGACTTTGTTTGGTGCTAAAACTCGTGATAAAGTTTGTAATCTGGTATAAAGGTCACGCACTGAATGAATTTGTTTGGTGCTAAAACACGTGATAAAGTTTGTAACACATCTGAAATGTAATGTAACGCATCGCCAAAGACAACTTATGTCATGTTGGGAACATATGCTGGTGTCATGTTGGGAACATATGCTGGTGTCATGTTGGGAACATATGCTGGTGTCATGTTGGGAACATATGCTGGTGTCATGTTGGGAATATATGCTGGTGTCATGTTGGGAACATATGCTGGTGTCATGTTGGGAACATATTCTGGTGTCATGTTGGGAACATATGCTGGTGTCATGTTGGGAACATATGCTGGTGTCATGTTGGGAACATATGCTGGTATGTAAAAACTGTTTGAGGATAAAAAATTTTGATCTCTATGAAATAACAAAAAACATTAATATGGCACTATTTCGTCCTTAGGAAAGTTATCCCACCTATGACCCACCTGCCTACTCAAAACCCTTGGAGGAATATGAGGAGGACCGGCGACCTTACATTGACCCGGATATGTTTGAGTGAGAATCCCTGGACCTTTGAGCTTTGTTTTCATTAAGTGGATAATTTATGCAATTTTGTTTTATGTTAATACCCGATGGCAACAGAAAGACCTACGAATTATTTTGAAATATCGAAGAATGCTATTAGTGTCTTAAATTTCTCTAGCTATCCGACCTGTCACCATTCTTATAAACATGCCGGCTGACACTTCCCGCCTTGAATAGCTAACACATGCCTAATCTGCTTGAACTTATATTTAATCGAATATTTACTGTCTGCCAGCCTCATGAGACAGAGAGAGGAAGTGAACCTGCTGGACAAGGTGAGTCCCGTGGCCCACGTCTTTCTCCAGTTCGAGCCTTCTTTCAACCAGGAGGTGGAGGCCACCACGGCCAGTGGGGACAAGTATGTCGTCAACAGGACCAGTTGGATTATCAAAGACGACCAGCCCATGCTCTACACGTTAGATTCGAACAACATTCCAAGGTATCCAAGTTGTCTGCCTCCGTGCTCAAGTTTTCTGGTTCGTTAAGTATTCTAGCATTTTACTCCATCATTTTTACTCCATCATTTTATTCCATCATTTTTATTCCATTATTTTACTCTGTCGTTTTACAGCATCATTTTACACCATCACTTTTACTCCATCCCTTTACTCCATCATTTTACACCAGCAATTTACGCCATCGTTTTACTCCAATATTTTACTCCTTCATTTTCCACCGACATTTTTCGTACACAAATGAATAACTCAAAAAAAAAAAAATCAATTTTTCCTCTCAGGAACCCCATGGGACGCACAGGTCTCCGAGGGCGTGGCAACTTGTGGCGCTGGGGCCCCAATCACATGATCTACGCCATCGTTTCCCGGTGGAAGAGCATTTACAACTTCTCGGACATGATCCAGGGACCAAAGATTGTCAACGGGAAGAAGGTGATGGAGGTTTTGGTAGTTCTCAACGAAAGCACTAACGAGGACTCACTGCCTGGGGTTGGTATATTAAATATTTAGCGTAGCAATGTAGCGTTACTTGAATACGATTGACCTTACAGTCGGGATAAACACAAGCAATCTCTTATTGACTTATAGACCTCGTGGGCTGAGATAAATTTGAGCATTAAAAAAATTAACATTTTTTGTTGTTTCGACTTGGTTGGTATGAATGAGGCATTTCAATCGAAGTAGAGTGCTGTAGGAAGAATAAAATAATTCAAACTCACTTTAGATCGCTATTAGTTATACAACTGCTTTGCTCATTGATCTGTCATCTCACAACTATGAAAATTTAAGCAAATGATACATTGAAAAAATCGGCAGTAATATAAGAAGAATATTACATCTATAAGACACGTAATATGATCTCAGACACCTAGCTATAAGACACATATGATGATCTCAGACACCTAGCTATAAGACACAAATGATGATCTCAGACACCTAGCTATAAGACACATATAAGACACATATGATGATCTCAGACACCTAGCTATAAGACACATATGATGATCTCAGACACCTAGCTATAAGACACGTATGATCTCAGACACCTAGCTATGACACATCAGTTGATCTTAGACACCCACTACTTGCTTCTCACTGATCAGGACTTCATCAGCGGCCGTATGAGTAAATACAATGTCATCTGTGAGGTGTTTATGAGAGATCTTCTTGGGGAGAAGGAGGTGCCCAGCACAACACAGCTGGACCAGGACGACATGACACAGGTATAAGTTCTGCACAGACCCAGGCCCAATGCTTTATCAGCTCATGTGCTTTAAATGCGTTCAGGTACATCTTCGCTACAAATGTCCTTTTCAGGCTTTGGGGGGGGGGGGGGGGACAGGGCCCCCCAAAAGAAAAAAAGGGCCCCCCCCCCCCGGGCGAAAAAAAAAGTCCCTTTCCGGGTTTTGGGGGGGGGGGACAGTGCCACCTAAAGGAACAAAAGTGCTCCCCCACCTCGGACGAAAAATAAACACACCAATAACGTACAGCTAAGGACCTATACAAAATAATAAATTTCAATTTAAAAACATTTCATACAGAGAACTAAATGGTAGGCGGTAGGCCTAACTGTTCAGATTAAGTTATGTGTACTACTAAACGTTCAAACGAATGTTGAGGCATTCGACATGTCTAATATATTACGTACCTTTATCGTTTTGAAAAATGTCCTTTGTTTTAAGATTTTGGCGCGTATAATGAGCAATACATAACAAAGGACTGAGAAAAAGAGGATGCCAAGAAAACGATACCTAAGCTAGTGATGCTCACAATATTTAATTTAATTATAACATGGAATTTCTATAGAAATAATTTTAAAAAACAAACTATATCAACTTACAGCAATTAAAAAAGGGTACACTATTCAAAAAATACACTTTTCATTTTTTTACACGCAATTATATAACGTCGAGTATAGCGAAAATATCACCCCATCTCTCTCTTTCTTTCTCTCTCTCTCTCTCTCTCTCTCTCTCTCTCTCTCTCTCTCTCACTCACTCTCTCTCTCTCTCTCTCTCTCTCTCTCTCTCTCTCTCTCTCTCTCCTAATAAAAATGATGACGGGATTTATCTAGGGACCTAACCACAAACTTTCAGTACAGAATTCTAGAGATTGCGTCACATGATGGCATTAATTAGAAAGATAAAACACATTCGAAAGTGAACGTTTCCCAATCAAGATCCGGAGAAGGAACTGAAGAGTGAAGTGTCCAGTGCAGAGTTGGTTCAATCAAGATCCGGAGAAGGAACTGAAGAGTGAAGTGTCCAGTGCAGAGTTGGTTCAATCAAGATCCGGAGAAGGAACTGAAGAGTGAAGTGTCCAGTGCAGAGTTGGTTCAATCAAGATCCGGAGAAGGAACTGAAGAGTGAAGTGTCCAGTGCAGAGTTGGTTCAATCAAGAATCATTTGGAGTGACATAGTCGTCATAGATTGCAAAGAGTCCGAATTTAACAATGATTGGGTCGAAAACAAATTATGAGAAGTCGTTTTCCAGGTTGATTGAAACATATTCGGTTAATAATCCATGAAATCATGGGATTGTGATTGAAACATATTCGTTCAATAATCCACGAATTCAAGAGATTGTGATAGAAACATATTTAGTTAATACATAAGGATTGCCTGGAATTTCTTATTCTAGCTCCTAGTCTGTACTTCTGATCACGTATGTTTAATCCGCACATGAACCGGGAGCCAAGATTTCTTTGATTTAGTGTTTGCCCTTCCCGCCAGTTTTTCCGCCAGTTTGTCAGTAGTGATTTCATTCTGTCCGGAATCCTGGGCCGCACTGTCCCGGGCACGTCGAGCTTGACCAGTAACTTGATCTACAGCGGATACGTGGACGACAGCAACAACACGGACAATGCGTGGGTGGAGGCAGAGATTTGGAGCTTTCACTTCAACAACAAGGATAAACTGGACAGGAAGATTCTACAGGTAATCTGAGCCGATATCAGCCTGTTTTTTCCTAAGATTGTAAGCTAAAATCAATTGATGTCAGTTTGTTTCTTCCTAAGATTTTACGGTAAAATTAATTGATGCCAGTCTGCTTCTTCCTGCTCCGGACGGTTATAATTTTGTTCCACTTGATATTTTATAGAATATAAATTAATGGCATTATTTGCAAGATGAAATGGATTTAATTAAAATATTAGTTGGTGTATCGCAAACGCTTTTGAGTACTTAATATACCTATGAAACAGATTAACGCGCATAAAAATAACAACAAATCAACACTTACAACTTCAAAAGTAAGTTACATGTACCATTCAAATGATAATATATGGTGATTGATTCTTTCACAAAATATCGCTGATAAAACTACCGTGGTGTTTTTGTGATGCAAGTCGATGGAATTTGAGCAACTCAATGTTCTTTCCAGATTACTCGCCTCCTGCTCCTAGTACAGTGGTCTGCAAATCACGGCTCTTTAGCGATCTGAGTGCGGCTCGCGTTTTACTCCAAAAAACATGGTTCTTGGCAGGTTCTTGAAAAGAAATTTGGCTCTCAAATTTGTTTTCATCGTCCTGCTGCTGAATTTTGGCTCTTTTGATTCTTGAGTTTCCGACCACTGTCCTAGTATTACAACTCAGCAGCCAAATTGACTAATAGAATGCCAACAAGGGAATTGATCCATATCAGAACTAACAATTGAGTTGATCAATATCTGATTCGATTAAATTTCTTGAAATTTCAGAGAGACAAATATTGGCGGGAAGTGTCGTCTGTCATGAACCTTGCAGGAAATCAACAAAATTTTGTGTTGGAAGTGGCACGAATGTATGACGATGGAACCACCTAAGATTCAATGTGTTGGAAGTGTTTAATATTTTTTAAAACATAATGTTAATTAAATTAGTATTGTACGTTTTTTCAAGCTGTGTGTTGCGCTCCTTTTTATTCAATTCAGTATCCGAAAGAAAGAAAACGCGAGGTTTAAAAAAAAAAAGAACCGAAATATAAAAATGGGTTAGGGTAAATCCCGAAAGAGGACGAAACAAAACATAAACACGTCTGCAAAAATCCATATTCGATAAACGAAGACGGTAAAAATTAAGAAATGTTTAAAAAAAAACAAAAAAACTGCATAAGATAATTTATTTCATTTGCTAAAAATATTGAAATAAAAGTGCTCAAGCCTTTGTTCATAATTGAACTTATTGATCTTAAGAAATGAAATATTGTAAAGTTTAAAATATTTTTTTCATTGCTATGAATCTAACTTTAAAAAATTAATAACTTCTTAAGTTTTCATCTAATTCCCGTGTATAGTGTTTGTTAAAAGTTAGTATCTTTGCAAAAGTCTAATTTAATAATTTAAAACTAGTAGTATGGCACCCGCTCTGTGTATGGCTAATGTATGGCTAATTATCTAATTAGCGGAACTTTATAATCAAACATTCAAAATATATCCCATCAGCGGCAGTATAGACATTCGAAGTATTTCCCATAGATTACGGCAGCTATTCCCAACTCCTATGATTCGCGGAGCCCTATTAAGAATCAAATTTTATGGGGGGGGGGGGGGGACCCCCTTAACCCTAACCTTGACCTTTCCCTGTAATTTTTAAAGCATTTAGGATTTTCCTGGAGCAGACAAGAAGCCCCTGAGAAGCACATTTTGGGAACCACTGGGCTACAAAATAAGACATTGAAATTAATTCCTATCGTCTGCACTATTGTCTGCACTATCAAAGTTAAAGTATTTCTAATTTGATGCAGGGTCATATATATTTTAAATAGCATTGGTTTCAGTAGTTTACATTGTATCTAAGTATAGCAGCGACTGTTGTTCCATCCGACCTTTTTTTGCCGGCACTTTTAAGGCGTTGGATATCCCTCAGGGCTGAATTCATTTGATCTTGAAACAAGCTGTAATGTGTTAACATGGACGCAAGTTCCTTGTTTGACCGGCTTGTCGTGGAAGGTTCGATGTCAGTGAAGCGTCAGATAAGGAACTGCTCCAACCTCTTGTCTTTCAGCATCGTATCATAGAGTTCTTGGTACTTGATGGGGGCGGACTCTTTCAGGCTACGGTTATAAGGTGAGGGGTGGGGGAGAGGGGTAATGTTACAGCACAATTTGAAAAGAATATTTCAGAATGATGGAATTTAAGTGGCAGTTGTGAGCGTTATAAATTATAAAGAGATAGAAGATTGAGAAGGCTTTAAAGACTAAGTTCATCGTTGTGAACTTATACAAAATGACAGAAAAATTGATGAGAGATGAAACACACATGATGGATCTATTTCTAGGCTTTGGAACACATTCATCCTTTGCTGATGATTTTTAAAATCACATACACAATCATAAAAACGAAAAGTATGTCAGATATATGCGAGTGTGAAATACTCAAAAAGTGTGTCAGATATATGCGAGTGTGAAATACTCAAAAAGTATGTCAAGATATATGCGTGTGTGAAATACTCAAAAATTGTCTAAGATATATGCGTGTGTGAAATACTCAAAAATTGTGTAAGATAAATACGTGTGTGAAATACTCAAAAATTGTGTAAGAAATATGCGTGTGTGAAATACTCAAAAATTATGTAAGATATATGCGAGTGTGAAATACTCAAAAATTGTGTCAGATATATGTGAGTGTGCGTACTTAATGAGCCGTTGTTCTAGAATGTGCGCTGTAAACATGTGCTGGATCAAGAATGATCTGAAGTCGTTGAGGTCTGCCAGTGTGAGGGTGGTGAAGTTCTCGTGGTACCATTTCTGGGTTGATTCAATGATCTGGGTCTCCTGGCAAAGTAAAAACAAAACAACATACAACAAAAATAATGTAATAATGATTAAACACTTGAATCCTAAACTTTCCAGTCAGAGTATTCGAGGCAGTGAAGCGATGGCCCCGGAATAATTTATTTAACCTTGACATAATACTAAAAAAAATAATAAGTTGTAAAACATTTGGAAAGTAAACAAATATTGGCATTTCAGTTTAACATTTGAAACAGTGTGGGTAGGAAAAAAATCACAAGGAAATGTATCTTTAATTAAAATAATTATAATAAATGTTGCACATTTTTTGTTTGTTCAACGAAAACTGCACGCCACTGATGCCAACAGTCTACTGACGCCACCAGCACGGCACTGATGCCAACAGTCTACTGACGCCACCAGCACGCCACTGATGCCAACAGTCTGCTGACGCCACCAGCACGCCACTGATGCCAACAGTCTACTGACGCCACCAGCACGCCACTGATGCCAACAGTCTA